TATATAGATCTGTGTTCTGATTCCCACTTTAGTAAGACATGCCAGGATTTAGGTGTTTAATAAGTATGATTTGGAACTTTCAGTGTGTAATCATGTTTGACAGAGAAGACTGTGGAAGAGCGAAGCTTCAGCAGCTGAGGAATGATGTCAGATTACTGAGTGAGGGCAAAAGCAGGGTAAAAGATTATGAAAACAGACGAGAATTTGAAAGGTAGCTCATTTTAGTAAGGGCAGCATAAAGAATAAGTGGAGGAGACAGAAGTACCTTTAAAAGCAAATGAGAATAATTTATTGATGGTGGAAGAAGGTGGGAAAAACAAATGAATTTTTTGCTTGCTTGTCTTAAGGGAGTATGTCGACAGATGCCTGGAACCAATGTAAATTTCCCCAGGGAAGAAAAATTATTGAAAAAAAAATGAAGATTGCTTTATAGCAGGTGATGCAAAAATGAATGCAGTTGGTGAGAAACACAAGTTCACAATCATTTGGGACCTACAGATTTAATTTTAGCAGTGGAGTGTTCATAGGAAACAATTGTTTGGAGTATTATGATATAGCTGAAGAATAGCAGTTTACTTCAAAATGTCTGGTTTGGAAACAAAACACAGGTAGAGAAACATAGAGTTGTAGAGCTAAAAAAGATCTTTGCAATAATTTTATAGATGAAGAAAATGAGACCCAACCGAAGAAGGTAAGCAATTTGCCCAGGTCTTCGAGTTAGATAATGGCAGAGCTGGGACTAGACAGACCTTGGAAGCAGTGTACATTGCTCATATCATTTTGAAGCTTCATTATACATTTATTCCGTAGAACTTTTCAGTTCAGCATGAAGCATGATCTTTCACTCAGTGAATGAGAAGTATAAAGGAATTAAGAATTGGTGTAAAGGAAGGTCTTATTAGGAACCCACAGGGGCTTGTAAGGGAATTCACTTGGTAATGTGAAGAATTTTGCAGAAGAGGCAGAACAGAGCTGTAATTGGGAGGACACGGGAAAGAAAAGACTAGGAATAGTCATTATCTTCATTATTAGTATCGAACGATTATATGGCATTTCATTTTCAAAACCTTTTGCAAATTTTAATTGTCAGATGCAGTTAAAATCTAAATTGCATAGTCTGGAAAAGTGGGCCATTGGAGTTTGATAAGACATAGAGGAAATATATTTGAATTTTCCTATCCTGAAACATTGTTGGAATATGCTCTATTCTAAAGCAGCTCTCTCCGTTATACATTAATTCAAAAACAAAAGCCTTTTTATGATTACTTTCCTTCCTCAACTATTGACTCTCCTTAGTTGTATATGAGGAAATAGAAAAAATATGGTAGAGGTAGACTCATTGGATCAGGGGATATAGAAAGGAAACATTTATGATTTTTGAAGTTCACCTTTAAATTTAACATATGACAATGAATAGATTCCCAGTGTAAGTTACAATGGACTCTTTTTTCCCCTCTTGAGACTTTCATGACTGTCTAAGATGTAAAAACCCATTTTGGCTTTTTAAAAGGTACTGCATCAATGCCATGCTCACAATGTTGTATTCTTCATAATGTAAATTACCACTCACATTAAAATTAAGATATAACAGGAAAAGCAGCAAAACAAAACAGACAAACAAAAACTAACACTTGTATGTCTTACATCTAAGAATAAACGTGATTTAAAAGGCAGAATCATTATAGGAGATATTTCTATTTATTTAAAGATTTCTTTATTCACTTGCTCGTAAACAAAACTCCTGTCTCTTAAGGACTGAGTGCTACAATACTCTTGCTTCTAAGGTTAGAATATTTCCTTTCCTAGTACTGCCAGGGTTTTGTGGAGATTTCAGTAATGGAAGAAATGACACTTTCATTCTTGTAATGAGGGACCATTAACCAGTGGCCTTTTGTAAGGGTGTAATTTCAAACTTCATTACAGACGAAGGCAGCTGCCACCCATTGCTTGGGAAAATGTCCTTCTGTTGTGACTCTTCAATGAGCCTTACATTTTTAATGCACCTGTTAGAATATTTATGAAACAGTATCACCAGCAGAGGGCATCTGTCTTGGAAACATGGGGCCACAATGATATTAACTAACAGGGCTCCTCACTTTGACTTTTCAGTTAAAAAAATAAAAGTTATTGGTATGTTCCATAGGCTGAAATCCTTTCTGATTTAGTCCTTATTACTAGCAAGGAACAGGAAATATGTGTGCTTATGTCTCAGGAGTTTTAATTTTTTAACATCAGAGTGAAGTCCAAATACAAAGGTAACCAGCTAAATTCCACAAAGGAGAAGAGAAATAAACATATACTAATTGTGCTTCCTTTTACATGTCTGTAATTTGGGAGAAGTATGCATTTGTATAACTTCGGGCCTCAATCTTGCCAGTAGGTTTGACCTTTCGAAAATACTGAAAGGCCCTGGCTTTCTGATAAAAAATTTAGCATTGCAAAATTTTGTCTTGCTTGTAAACTATTTAGTTCACAATGGAAGCTGTAATCTGAAAAAACACCAGGGTTAGGAGTTAGGAAGTCTGGTTTTTATGTCTAACTCAGCCCTGGCAGTCCCAGGTATGCGGTCCTATGGGAGGGGATGACCCCACTTTGCCAATCTGACACCTTCCCATTGACTATCTCTTCCTAACCCTGGATCACTCAATCACTCAGTGCTAGGAGCGGTCAGCACCCCTATCAGCAGAACTGGGGGGGGGGGGGTTATTGACTGTCACATGATACACAGAATGGCTTCTGGTTCTAGCCATGAAGAACTGTGTATGTGTGTGTGTGTGTGTATACATATATGTGTGTGTGTGTGCGCGCGTGCGTGTGTATATAGGAGCCCTGGTGGTACAGTGGTTAAGAGCTACAGCTGCTAACCAAAAGTGCGAATCCACCAGTTGCTCCTTGGAAACTCTGTGAGGCAGTTCTACTCTGTCCTATAGGGTCACTATGAGTCGGAATCGACTCGACATCAATGGGGTTTTTTTGGTTTTTTTTATATATATATATATAAAATATAAAAAAAAAATATATATTTATATATATATGTGGCATTTTCAACTGCGAGCTTTTGTTTAGAGAATGATTAATAATTGTGACTAGGTAGTTTAGATGTTTCTTCAGATATTTCTAATATTACGATTTGTAGCGATATATGTTCAATTTGAATTTTCTCTGTACACATCATGAGAGAGGGAACTATGTTCTTAAATCTATGAAAAATACCATGACTGTGTGCTGTCAACCTTCAAATAATAGCCTATTAGAAGTGAAGACTAATGAGAAAATATACACAGTTCAAAGTCTTGCTGAGTGTCACAGAGAATTTCCTACCAACACAATTCCCCTTTATTCTAGAGAAATTTAAATACTTTCTTCCTTGTGCGCTACTGTTCTTTTCAGCTTGAATTTGCTTTACAGTATCTCTTTTTTAGTTATATGTGAAATGACTATTTCTCACCTGTCCACTTACTTGCATTTGTAGGCCATTCTAGATATATACCCCACGGTCCACACTAAGTGCCATATCAGGGCCATCAGGAGGCATTTGTTCTGAGAGAGAAGGGACTGTAACTCCCCTGTTCTTCCATGTTTGGCTGGTAGCAGATCCACTCCTGCAGTCACCACACTGGGGTGATTACCTTGCAATGCCAGGCTGCTCTCCCACACCCTGGGAGTGCCAGTTTGTGAACTGAACACTCAGGAGCAGCTTCCTGAAGAGCTTATGTAAATTAAAAGTTAAATATTCAAATAACTGGTGTTTAATGATTTTTACAAGTAATACAGCTTCACAATATCATTGTGGTTCATTTGAGACAGCATTTATACATTCATCGAACACTTGTTTTAATTAAGTACTTCTCCCCACCTCCATCTCACTCTCGTTATTAGAAAGACTCCATACATCAGAAGTCTAAAACTTCTACAGGCCGAGTGTGGTCCTTAGTTGGGTTTTGTTAGGTCCATAAGTTGTTGTGGGCCATTGTGTTGATTCTGACTCATAATGACCCTATAGGACAGAGCAGAACTGCCGCATAAGATTTTCTAGGCTGTAATCTTTACAGGAGCAGATTCCCAGGTCTTTTCTCCTGTGGAGCCACTGGTGGATTCGAAACACACCAACCTTTCGGTTATCAGCTGAGCACTTTAACCATTGCACCACCAGGGCTCCCTTAGGTCTGTATATAGTGTCTTATATGCAGAATTAGTTGTCAATACTTAAAAATTGGAAGAGTTAAAATAATCTAGATTTCTGGATTATCTTTTTAAAAAGAGGATTATTTTTTTAAAATGAGGATTAAATGGCCCTAGATCTCTCATGGCAGATGCCAAGCTCTCCAGCTCCCCAGTCCTCACCTGGATTTTCCATTCCCTGATTTACATTCTCTGCCTGTCCCCTAGCAGCCCTGAGTTCACAACCCTCAGTCCCTCTTAAACATGTGAGCAGCCCAAACCAGAATGGTGTGTGTCTACTCAACTGCTAATGCATTATGCCATCATATGTAACTTTGTGTACCTCTAGTTTTCTATTTTAAAAAATGGAAATTATATCTGGTAACTATCTTCCAAGAAAAGTTTGACAATTAGTGTGAATTTTTAAGAGCATTTCAAAGTAAAGTTATTTATTGCTATTTTAATTAGCACATTTAAAAAAATGATTTTGTTTCATGATTTAAGATTGGCTCTATAGCAGACAGCATTGTTTCTTTAATGAAAACGTAAATGTTTTAAATGAGCTTTTGTTAGGTACATGTCTTTTTCTTAGAAAATTTTAAGCCAAAGATAGAAGACTGAAAATACGGTAGAGTTACATATTTTATCTATGCATATTACATTTTTATATACTTATCTACTTATGGATATTTTAATCCAGTCAATACATTCTTAGCTTCAGTGAGTATAATAAAATTGCTTCTTCTTAAATAACTTCTAAAAGCAAGTTCAGAATGAACCTCAAAACAAGGCGCCACATCATGTGGATGTTAACTTTAGATGAATGGTTTTCTTTTCAGAATACGGCAGGAGAATGATATGGTTGATTCAGCGCCTCAGTGGGAAGCCGTATTAAGGAGACAAAAGGAAAAAAGCCAGGCGGACCCCAACAACAGGCGATCCAGACACAGATCTCGCTCGTATGTGGACTCTTTTTATACCTTGATTCAAAAAAGTTGAGCTTGATGTAGCAAGCGGATGCTAGGGCAAATTGGAATGTGTCTTTTTCAGGTCTTCTAAAGTGGTTTAATTCAAACATGATTATCCCGTTATTTATTTGTCATACTTAATTTCTTTTGTCTGTGACATTTGTTAACTATATTTGAAGCCCTAGAAGTTGGAACACAGCCAAAACAAAATGGCACAAAAACAAGGCTATTAAAATCATATATATATATGATTTATGTATATATATAACAAAAGCATGTATATTCAACCAAATAAATAGGAATAGTCTCCTTTGTTCTGGAACCTGCCTGTTGGTGAAATACCTGCTGCTTTTCCCAATTTGAGTGTGCAGAGTTTCCCTGAAGTCTTGTTCCAGATTGGACCAGATGTGAATATCTTCTCATCAAATTAACGTTTGTAAGCAGTAGTCAGAGAGTGATTCATTACACCCCTATGTCATGATTTGCGTGTTCCTCCTGTTGCTAGGCAATGCCATGTGTGAGGAGAATTTTCCTGTAATGGTGAGATTGCCAGTCCCCAAAATTAATTTTCTTTTGAGTTGATAAAGTTTTTTTTTTTTTTTTAAGATCTATTCATCATCCGGATTTAGAGTTCTTAACTCTACTTCCCAAAGCATAGCTTTTCGAAGTAAGCTGGAACTGACTACTGATCCCTTTGTGATCCTGGGTGGTCAGATATCTGGCATTGCTTACTTGTGGAAGGAGGGGTAAATGTGTCTGGGAGTGGATGAGTAGAGAAAGTATGTAGATAGGTGGGGAGCTCAGAGGGAGTAGGGCAGAAGGGCCCTAGGGGCTCTAGGGGAAATCTTTGAGTGCTAGACAGGTTAACAGAGGCCGGGGACTCTGGAGGGCACACTTGCATCTACTAGAAGACTTGCAAGTAGGCACTACGCAGTGTACACCCTTATAGATGTATTCATTACTCCACAATCCTTTTGTTCTGTAATTAAAATGTTGTTTAATTTAAAGCAGAAGTTAATAAAACATTTTTTAAAAGGGAGGTTTTAGGTATGGAAGAATCAAGACCTGTTTGAAGTTGTCCATGTAACCAGAAGGCACAGAATCTCAAGATCAGATCCTCCATGCTTTTTGTTTTCCCTGTGGGATCTTTTCCTATGAGGGACTTGTTATATACAAGGTTTGGTAACTTGATATTAAATCTTAAAATGACATTCAGTTTTTCTAATAATTTCTAAATCATTTAAGTTCAATTAAATGCTGGTAGATTTCTTTTTTATTTAAAAAAAAGGAGAAAAGTAAAATAAAATTAGGAAAAATCCTATATATATTTTAGAGATTAAAAACATTATTGAAGGCAATAGTAAATACATGAAACCATTCATTTATAAATAAAATTGACAAATAGAATAATCCAAAGTTGTTCCTAACTATAATTCAATTATATTGTGGGCCAAATGTTTATAGATGGGCCTGGGAATTTAATCATTTCTTTTCTGTTGAGTAATCTGAATTCACTCCATTTAATAGCCTGAAGAGTAAACTTTCTTTTTTAATCGAGGTAATTTGAAGTAAAATTTATATACAGTGAAATACTCTCATCTTAAGTGTATAATTCAATGGATTTTGACAAGTGTATACTCACTATATCCATCACCTATTCAATATATAGAATATTTCAATCATACGAAAACTTTCCTCATGCCTTCTTCAAGTCATTCATCACTTCTGACTTTTATTATCATAGATTAGTTTTTGTCTCTTCTTAAACCTCATACAAATGGATTTATACAATATATACTCTTTTTTTTAAAAATTTTTTTCTATCGTACTTTAGATGAAGGTTTACAGAACAAATAGTTTCTCATTAAACAGTCAGTACACATACTGTTTTATGACATTGGTTAACAACCCCACAACATGTCAACCCTCTCCCTTCTCGACCTTGAGGACCTTTTTTTGGTGAAAATATATGTAGCCAAAGTTACACCATTTCAAAAGTTTCTACACATACAATTCAGTGACATCGATTACATTCTTCCAGTTGTGCTGCTATTCTCACTATCCTTTTTCAAATTAGTCCATCACCACTATCTTCAACTCACTGTCTCCTAGTCTTCCCATCAAACCTTTTGAGTTGCTATTGTCAATTTGATCTCACATAGTTAATTCTTTCCTTTTTTTTTGTACCTTAGATGAAGGTTTGCAGAACAAATAGTTTCTCATTAAACAGTTAGTACACATATTGCCCTATGACAATGGTTAACAACCCCATGACATGTCAACA